CAACGTTCCACTAGCTATGGAACGGGATCGGGATTGAGTGATTCTCCCGGCAGAGACTGGCAATACATTTACCCGTGACTCGGGATTGAGCGATTCTCCCGACGAGGTTATGCGAAGGAACTCAGAAAGACCTGAGCTCGGGTCCAATGAGTTTCTCCGTGGCGGACGGCCGGCGAGAGGTTGTCGGCTGTGTGCTGACTTCGCTCGACATAGTCGGTGGTGGCCTGGAGGAGGCACCTGGTGCTCTGGTATCGAGAGGTGACATCGATATCAGAGGGGATGATTGATGTATTATGTTTTATGGAGTAGGGATTTGGATGACGTGTTTTATTGTTCCGGCGATTGCCGAGGAGAGCGGGGGATGTGCGTTGCACATGGAGCGTCCTTACCCACGTGTGTGATGCACATGTGGAGATGATTTGACGGTACGATTATTACTGAGAGACCCGATGGGTCGAGTTATTACTTGTGTACATATGTCCTGGACTGGTGAGACCAGATCCGGCGTGGTGTCCTATGTGTGCGATGCACATAGAGATGATTTGACGGTTATGTCCCATGATACATCATGCGGACTGAGTGTGTTTGATAAGTGAACTATTGTGCGATTGAGTGAACGATGTTTGATGGCATGGAGTGTGTATATATATGTATACACTTATATCTAGTGCGTGCATGATATTGATTGTGTTTGGCCATTTGCAATTTGAGTATGATCTTCGGGTCTAACCCGAAATACTCACTAAGCACATAGCTTATGGACGTTGTTATGCAACGTTTCAGGCACGGAGGAGTATTGGCAGCGACAGGACGAGGGTACTGGTGACGCGTGAGAGACTATCTGGATCATGTACTTTCTTTTCTTTGGACTTATGTTGGTTTGTATGGACGGGACCTGACTTTGTATTTTATCCCAGTTACCGTCCTTATGTTGGTATGTATACTACTGTACATGGGTTTGTAAACATATACTGGATTTTCCGCTGCATGTGTAATAAAATAAAATGTTTTAAAATTCCCGCTATTTTATTATATGTTTGAACGTCCATGTGACACAACTCGTGAGCGGGAGACGGGTTACAGGTGTCACATCGATTCTGGAAGATGAATTTGTTTCTCCAACGCCAAAGAAACCAACATGTAACACCAAAAATAGTTGGCCATGTCAATGACATTAGTTCTGAGTTGCACATGAGATTTCGTTCGAACCATACGGAAGACTCATCCCGGAAAAAATCGGACTGCCCAATACCCCCACGGATATCCAACCATATATGTCTTGCAATCTTACAATCTCTCAAAACGTGTAAGATAGATTCTTCTTGTGGACAACCTCGCGGACAACGATCCGTGGAACTAAAATTTCTTCTTACTCTCTCACAGTTTGTCAAGAGTTTATGACTAAAGGCTAACCAAAGGAATACCCGAATCCTTTCTGGTCCTCTCCACTTCCATATCTTAGACCAAATTGAGATCGAATGACAGACCAGATTATGCATGAGAGATATATATGCACTCTTGACTGTACATTTACCATCCCGAGATCCACACCAGTATAGTATATCTTGATCCTCTGAGGACCTTGGAGGAAGAAGATTTGATATCCTTAAGCAGGTGGAAAGAGGGAGTAAATCTGAAAACTGATCCCATCGCCATGTCCCATCCGTGTGTACAAAGTCCGCAACCGGAGAAAGAGGGAGGTTTTGACGGTCCTCCTCTCGAATATGTTCAAGCAGAGGTTTATCACCCTCTACCCAGTTGTCCCTCCAAAAATCTGTTTGACAGCCATTTCCGAGCAGTGTTGCACATCCCCCCTAGTGAGTTGCCAAACTGATCGTATTCCTTTCCATATAATAGATGCCCATGAGCCGGAGGTTGGTGACCAATTCTGTATGGGGGTGATAAATATTTGCTCCTCAACAATCGCACCCAAAGATCATCTCCTTTAGTGATAAAATGAAAAGCCAACTTCATGAGAAAAGCTTTATTAAACTGTCGCCACGAGTATTTTCGTTTCAATAGTATGGAACCTAAATGTTTACATAAATAAATTGTGATTAATGTGATTTAATTAATGTTTTAATAAATGCGTAAGGAACGTGAAAAAGGAAAGATGGAACAAATTCGAGAAAGATTGGACCAATCGTGGAGAGATGATATAATCACTCACTGGCCCTTTTGCTGGTCCCATATGCAATGATTGTATATATTTTGCTTTCTTGAACAAGGATCTATCCCCCCTCCATTTTCCGAGAATCCATCCATACAATACAATCCTTATCTCACTCATGCATTCACAATAAAACACACTCAATACGTGAGGGAATACTATATATGTATATATATGTGTATGTATACACGCGCACACGAAAGCAACAAATGAAGAAAAACTGGTAAGGAAAGTAATGATGATGTGATGATGATGATGATGATGATGATGGTGTGTACAATAGCAGTCACACGCACGCATTTAGTAAATATATATGATAGTAATGTTGAATAACCGAGTAGCAATGCGTGTGTCAGAATCTTATGCATCCTAAGTTAAGTTTTTCGACTTTGGTGTATGGCTGAGATCAAATTTGATGACGTGTCCACACTGACAGATAAAATTGGGGCCATGCATGCATTTCATGGTGGATAAGAACCCTTTTTTTTCCCTTTGGATCCGGACCGTATAAACTGCTTTTGCGAACGTATAAATGTTTCTTTGTACACGTTAAGCTCTTCTTATCCAAAGCAAATGAGATTATGCACATATATGTACGAACATCTATACTTATGTATATTGTCTTATGCGGATGAGCTGTAGACAGAAAGGAAAATGCAACAATTGTACAACTTGCAAAAGGCCCTAATACTACAATTATGAAATTGGGAGAGAGAGAGAGAGAGAGAGAGAGAGAGAGAGAGAGAGAGAGAGAGAGAGAGAGGATATATT